AAATTATCTTCATCATCAGCTTTATTATTATTATTATTATATTATAGTATATTATTATTGTTATTGTATTATACTATAATTGTTGTTACAGAACTTTAGCATCACTCATATCGTTCTTATCATCATCACTATCATGGTCACAGTTATCATAATCATGCTCTCAATCGTTAACATCATTATCTTTATTATCATCATATTCATCATCATCATCATTATTATCACCATAACCATCATAATCATTATTATCATTATCATCAGACATTTTCATTACTATTATAATCTTAATGCTTCTTTTCGTCTCAACATTATTGTCATCTGTATTATTATTACTTTACATTTGTCGTAATCGTCATCTTCATGTGCAACTTCAGAATTACCAGGAAATTCTTAACCTTACTATTTTCCCTATCATTTTTATAAGTATCTTTATAATTATTATTGTCATAATTGTTATCATTCTCAGTATTACTATCATTTTAGTCACCATTATTACTATCTTAAACACAATTATCATCATTAACGTCATTGTCTATTGTATTATTGTTACTATTACCATGATTGCGATCGTTATCTCTGTAAACAACGTCTGAATAACAAGCATATGATTGTGTCGTTTATCATAAGTATCAGTATTTCTATTATTATTATAGTAATCGTCATCTCTGTTAATGGCATCTGAATTACCATCAAATTATTAACATCATTTAACATAATTTTTTTTATCATCACCTATGTTAGATTCATGATTTTTATTATCGTCATCATTGTCATCTTTATTAGTATCACTTTTAGTAGAGTCACAAACTTTACTATCTCAAACACAATTATTATTATCAGAATATTAATTTATGATATTATCATCATTATTACCAAAATTATAATAATAATTATGATCATCATTAATTATTAACTTCATTTATTTTATCTGAATTATCATTTTCAACTTTAACACTATTATCATCAGAATTATTATTACTATTACCACTTTTTAATCGTCATCTCTATGGACAACATAAGGATCACCAGTAAATCATGGGCGAATCTATTTTAATTATCATCCTTATTAGTATCATGATCATCATCAGTATCATCATTTTCACTTAAACCATTATTGTACGTCATTTTTATAAACATTATCAGAATCGACAGCAAATCAGTACCCAAACTCTCTTTACCATTAGCTTTATAAGTATGGCTAATTTTTGATATTATCATTATTATTACAAAAATTATAATAATAATTATGATCATTATAAATTATTAACATCATTTATTTTAACTGAATTATCATTTTCAACTTGAACACTGTTATTATTATAATTATTATTACTATTACCACTATTTTAATCGTCAT